GAGAGACAGCACCCCCTAGTGGGGTGTGGTCACACCACAATCTCTCCTCCATTTTTCCATCTTTCTGTGTGTGTGCACACGCGCATTGTTTTTACTTCTTTTCTTTCTTTTCCCCAAGTCACTTAGGCCAGGATTCAAAACACGGACGACCAAGTGAGTGGGATACAGCTCCCTTAACCACCAGGCCACAGTGCTGGCCTTAAATTGAATTCATCTAATTCTCAGAACAGCCTTATGCATAGGGATTACTATTGTTCTCATTTTACACTTAATGGCTCAGGTAGAGAGCTAAAAACAGTCTTCATGAAAGCTTCCACTTGTGGCTGTGTTCAAGGTTGCCTTTAGCAGGACAAGAGTAGTGGGAACAGATGCTGGGACTTCGCTTATCCAGATGCCAACCAAGGACCTAACTCAGACATGCTCTGAAGTAAGAACTGCCTCATCTGAGTTACTGATGGAGAAGAGCGGGAAAAAGAAAGCAGTATCAAAATTATAACCCAGGGGCCCAGCAGGTGGTGTGGTGGTTAAGGGCTCTGGACTCCCACGTGGCTGACCATAGGTTGAGTCCCAGATCTGGTGGCTTGCTTTCTCACTTTCCATTTCTCTCTCTCTTTCATTCTCCCTCACTCTCACCCTCACCTTCACTCTCACTCTGTCCCTCTCTAGTCAAGTAAGAATAAATAAATAAGGCTATATAAAATAATTCCTAAAAAAAAATTATAACCCAGAATTTCTAGGGAGAATAATCAGGCAGATCAATGGACTCATACGATTTATCAGAAACTTTGGAAAAATAACAATATTCGGAAGATAATTAGTTGTTTCTCGCCTACTACATTTCTGAAACCAAAGGGTCGGAAATAAAGATATGGAAGTCATCCAAAGGAAAAGAACGAGTTTAAACAACATTAAGTAATTCACCAAGTACTTCCAGGACACCAGCCATACTGTGCGTTGTGCCAGCAGCTTCGAATACAGTAAGTGTAACAAAACATGCGAGCTCTACTGGAGAGACATTGTCTTCATTTGGTAACGTCAGGGTGCTAAGCATGCCTACCACAGCAGGCCTGTTCCAGGAGGTTTCGCAACCTTTCTCTTTTCCTGCTTTGCCTTCCTTGTCTTACATCTTGACATCCAAAATCTCTGTGATAGCTTAGTCATTGTACCTAGTTGAAACTTTAAGATTTTGTTGTATTTGCATGCTTTTGGGAGTGGGAACACTAAAGACAGCACACTGAGACAAAGCAAACTCTGAAATCCCTCACATAACCACTGGCATTCTTTTTATCTGTTACGTTGAAATGTTCTGTTTGGTAATTTGAGAGAAGGAGGTGATTGATCCATGTCAAATGAATGAAAGAAATAAGGAACTGCCACCCTCTCCCAATCTTAATAAGATTTTTGCAGCATCATCAGCACTGCAAAGATGTTTTTTAAAAACCAAAAGAAAAGGCCCGGCTCCACAGTACAGTGGTGGTGTGGCTTGGGAGAAGCTGTATCCCACATGGCATCTGTGGTTTGAATTCTCGGTCCAGTCAGCCTGGAACACTCCAGACACACGCTCAAGTGCCCAAGACCCCATGGGCAGGAGGACTGAGGAAGAGAGGTGCAGCATGGCTGGACACAGTGGAGGCTACTCATCTCTCTCTCTTGATCTCTTTAGCATATGCACGCACCCTTATCATAAATAAAGGGGGCACGGACTACACAGGTAGTTAGAGGAGTATATTGAAAGAACTCACTTTGAGAGGCTTTTTTAAATCAATATCAGAATGAATGCTCAGCTCTCTTAGGGCATCTCCGACGAGGTTGTTCCTGCGAACGTGAAGGACCAGGAAGGGGCTTCTGGCCAGCAGAGGCTCCAGAGTGAGAAGCATGAAGACGTTCTGCAAGTTGGCTCCATTGACAGCTACCTGGAACAGCACATCCACAGCCACGATTACCCAGAGTGTACCTGAGAGTGGATGCCGCAGTCACCAGCACCTTTGTACCTGGGGCGGACTGCACCAGCCTAATCCTCCCCACTTCGTGACTCTCAGACTTGCCAGGTTACACAGCATGGTCTTTCTAACCTGGACTCAAAGCGATTACCTGAATTAGTTACGAACCATGTGCTCTATAACCAAATCCAGGAAAATTATTTAAAGCAGCTGATTAAGACTAAAATAGGGGACCAGCAGGTGGCGTGGTGGCTAAGGCACTGGACACTCCCACGTGGCCAAGCACAGTTCAAGTTCCAGACCTGGTGGCTTGCTTTCTCACTTTCTCTCTCATCAAATTAATGAACAAATAAATAAAATTAAGTAAATTATAACTTTTTTAAAGAAAGACTAAAATAATAGTGTACTTAACGAAGCATGACAGAGAGTGGGTAAAACCATGACTTTGAAAAGTGACAGGAAGGAAAACTAATAACCATGTGTTAGAGGAATTTTACTCTTTGAAAGATGTCCATGTCTCTGGAAAACCTTTACAATATCAATATCATAGATGTGTCCCTGTGAAAACAGACAGATAGCTGGATTGACACATCACTAGAGACAGACAGATGAAGGGAAGATGGAGAAAGAGACGAATGCAGTTATACCCACCAACTGTAAGAACTGGTGGATCTGGACCGCTAATTCACAAATGTCTTTTTGTCAGAATCAATGATATTGGGGCCAGCAGCTGGCATGGTGGTTAAGGCGCTAGACTCCCACATGGCAAACCAAGGTTCAAGTCTTGGACCAAACACGTTGCTTTCTCACTTACTTTCTCTCTCTCTCTCTCTCTCTGACTCTCTCCAGTAAGTATGCATTCCCTGTAGCAAATTTTTTTTAATGATGATAAATGCAATGAAATAAATAATTCTTTAAAATACAATCAATGATGCTTTATAGTAAAATGTGCTTAAAATAAATTATTAGGCCCAGCCATGTGACAGGTCCTGCTGTATGACACTGAAACCCCAAGGGAGGGCTTGGGGTTCAGAACTTAGGAATATGATGGGCACACTGTGGCCCTGGTTGCCTGAAAAACATGGCAGGGGGATCTCAGCATAACAAGATTCTGACAGAAGTCCGTCTGTCTGTATGTCTCTCTCTCTCTCTCTCTCTCTCTCTCTCTCTTAAATAAAATGTTCATAAATAAACAAATCTCTGTAATTTAAGATTTATTCAGTAAAGAATTACCAAGCTCCATTTAATTCTCTTTTTCTCTATGTCAGAGGTACTAGACTGCAGGGCCTCAGATCAAACCCATGCTGCTTGCCTTGCATAGCTCTCATGTTTTTCAGTTCCTAAGCTAACAATGGCTTTGACATCTTAACATGATCAAAAACCAAAAAATCTAAGAAAGAATATGTCACATGTGAAAATGTCATAAAATTCGATTCTCAAACACAAAGCTTTATGGACATAGCACACGATCATTCATGTCTATACTGTGTTGCTTTTGTGCTATTACAGCCAATTGGCTGTGACGGGGCTCACAGGGCCCACAGCCTGATGGACGTACCGTGTGGTCCTCTACGGAAAGTGTGGGCCCGCCCCTCTCTGCATGAAAGTGCACTCACACATGTACAAGACACTTCACATAAACGTACTGAAAAGATTTAGAACCGTTCTAAAAGTTATCATGAAATTCCACCCAACTCTATTTTCTATTAGGAAAAATGACAAGTGAGCATCCAAGATGAGGGAAAGACAGCGAAAAGATGAAATCGTTTTTAAAATATAATACCTGCATCTGTAGCTCAGCATCGGTCTGTAACATTTTGGTCTTGGCTTGGGCATCGAAGATGAAAGGGTAGGAGCACAGCGTCACCGTGTCCTAAGAGCAGACATATTATTGGCAGTATGATAATACTCCACAGAGGATTCTGCCAGGAGATACGTGAGTAAATTTGAAAAAGCTCATTTACCTGTATGATAGAGGGTCTAGCCTTCTGTGGAAAGAAAAATGAAAAGTCTCTTACTTGGACTGCCAAACTTCAAATTTTCAAACCTTCCCCCCTAAAAAAATTTAAAAATATAAGTAACAAAACATACAGTCTACCTGACTGTTTGGTCATGGAACTAATACCATTTGAATTGCTAACTACATTTTGATGGACTAGATGTTTTGATGAACAAAGACTGAGAGGAAGAACAAAAACGATTTAAGAAAATGTTTGAAGGGCCTTTAAAGGGCATTTTTGCTAACTTTCTATAATTCACAGCATTAAAAATTCTCTTTTTAAGAACTGTAAGTCCAAAATAGGAGCTTTACAACCTTGACTTCATTTCATTTTGTTGGGTAGAGTGAACAGGGCAAGAAGCATTTCACTTGTTGGTATGTTGCATCATCCTACACACATACATACACACACACACACACACACACACACACACACAGTTACTCTTAGGAAAAACCAAATACGTAGAAGGAATTTCAAGTGCTTCTAAAAAGTACTTTATCTAGTAAGTGGCCCCAAACTCAGCAACTAGAACAGAAGATACTCCATCAATACAGGATACTCCACTTCCCAGGAGGAAAGTAAATAAATGTAACCACATGAAGCTTATCAAAGCAGTATGGGGACCAGCAGTTGGCATAACGGCTATGTCGCTGGACTCCCATGTAGTCGACCATGGTTTGAGTCCCAGACCTGGTGGCTTAAACTCATGCCGGGTGCGTATGCTTATGTGCCCAAGATCCCAAGAGGAGAATGTAGGAAAAGGGATTGTGGCGGGGGGCTTATTTCTTGCTTTCTGTCTCTCTGTCTCTGTCTTTCTGGTGAGCGTGTGTGCCCTATAGCAAAAATCTCTCAAAAAAAAAAAAAGCAGTATGTTAGTTTCATTTATCAGGAAGAAGAGTAAATCTCTTCTGAAAGTTTGTATTAGATTATGTAACCAACATTATTCAGAAACCCAAAAAAGAGAGCGAGACAGAGCCTGTTGAGCTGTAGGAATAGTTCTCAAACAGAAATGCGTGGATTTATTCTCAGGTATGAGAGTGCTTTATGAATTTTTGAAAAATGACATCCTAAACAAAAGTAATAAAACACCTCCTGAACAACCTCCTTAGAATACTGCACGACTGCCACACAACTTACATTTATCTTAATAATCGCTTTGGTGCCACGTTAATGTGCAAATGTCCAACGGTAATGAGTGAGGGAAAAAGGCAGTCTTGGCACAGACGCTGCATTTGCGCCAAGAAAAAGGCCAGGGCGTCCTGGCTCTCAGCATGACTAAGGTTTAATAACAGTTGAAAGGAGAAAAGAGTGCTGAGTCATTCCAGGCAGGTGGGCAGCAGAACTCAGGAGCTGGGGCCTGACAGCAGGCGGGCTTGACCTGACACAAGGGGGGGTGGTTTCAATAAGTCTTACTTACTCATCACAGTAGATGGTGTAGCTAATCTACAATATATTGATCTGTTAGTATTTCATTTATTTTGGTTTCATATTGGCTTAAATGCTATAGGAATAAGACGGGTTTAAGTCAGCCCTCCCACTCACCGGTTCTGCCTCCATCCTCTGACTCAACCAACTGTGAATGAAAAATATTCGGAGGCGGGGGAAGGAGGGGTGGAAGGGGAAAATGACACAGTAAAAACGTAAATGCCAATTAAAAACCAATCCAGTAGAACAACTATTTACACAGCATTTACGTTGTTTCAGGGATTCTAAGTACTCTCAGGATGACTCCAAGTACAGTGTGTTGTTCTGTGTAAATGCTGGGCCGATCCCCAGGGACACTTCCTTTCGTGTTTGTGCATATTTAAATAAAAACATCTAAAACCCATTTTAATTAAATTTCACCCTGTCAATCCGTTAGCACTGGGTTCCTTTAGAGATCTGAGTACATTTTTCTAGACTGACAAACACTAATCCAGGAGACAATTCCACTCTGGTGAGACCAGGTATGGAATTGCTCATAAAATTCAGGCCAGTGTGACTCACTCTCATGCTTACTTACATAGCTACTTTCAAGTTAAGAATCAAAATTGCTTCAAAAATGGGGGGAAAAAAAAAAGCAGTGGCATAAAACAGTATTATGCAAATTTAAGTCACCCTCTATTAGGCTGTCTGGAAAGTCATGACACGCTTTTGCGTAGAAAAGCGTTTCATGAATTTCCCAACAACCTAATAGTTGAGGTACCTACAAAAGATGTGAGCATCCTGGAAAGCTGGCTTAAAATTGGTGCCAATATTCAGAATTTTCTAATCTTCCTTTCAGAAAAGATTAGTTTGAGCATTATTTGCTTACTCTCAAAAGAAAGATTTTGCCTGTGTGTTGGTTTAGAAAGCAGGATAAGGTTTTGAACACGCTGAATGTCAAAGTGACTGTGCAAGAAGTGATAACAGTGACCATGTACAGCGAGGCAGTGGGGTCCTCGTATACCCAGTACTGCTGAAAATTGGCATTTTTGTGGCACCACAGTTACTGCAGGTGTCGATCGGCAGCTTTGTACTTCTCAGCTGTCTCCAATCCCACTCCTGTTCTATGACTCTCCCACCACCCTCCCTGCAACCTCCATCCTAAACCCTCTCTGCCTCCCCCCCAAGACCCACCTTCGGCAGTTCCTAGTCCCTCCCATTGCTCCTCATCAGACTCCTCCCCACACCCGGAGGTAAAAGAAGCCAGTTTTGGAAGCAGGCTGATCTCTCTACTGGAGTAGAGGAGTTAAACCGAGGGCAGGCTCAACATTCTCTCCGTTAGGTCGGCTGACAGGGAAGAAATCCAAAACTGCCTCAGGTGGAGCCAGAGCCAAGGCCAGAGAGACACTGCCCCAAGTTGGTGGTCTCGAGACCATGCCACGGGGACCAGCAAGCCAGACAAGAAAACACTGGTGTCGTCTGGAGTCTATGTGCCAAAGGAAGGCAGAGGAGGGAAGCAGATTCAGTCAAAAGAAGCTGCAGATCTATATAAAGACCTGTTTATGTAGCTATACAATTCTCTGTATCTACTGAGATTTTGTATTTGAGATAAAATCACTGAAATACACACATTTTTATTTTCTAAATGCTGAATAGTTTAGAAATTGCATTCATACTGACATTTTTGTATTATACAAAATAAATTGGAATAATTCTGTGCCACTACTGCAGCCCCTAGCCTAGTAGAAGGTATAAACAGAGCAGATTAGATGTATGATGTCTCCTGGGAGGCCACCAGTCCCGGAATCGCCACTCCCCAAAAATGAGTCTCACAAGCTTGAAACAAGCCAAGTACCGGTACGCCATATTTCAAGTACTCCTGCCCGAAATGGGTTTACACTGTGACTTGAATCCATTTTTTACAGTATACAAGATAAAAGCGAAGAACAAATGGTAGAGAACAGAAGAACTGGACATAGCTTTTATTTTTATTATTATTTTTAATAGCAAGTTGCATTTCCTAAATACGGCTGTGACTGGGGCAGGAGGCAGCGCAGGGACACCTGCAGTGCTGGACAGGAAATCTGGCCTCCCCTGCCTTCAGGTCGGCTTGTCTGCACGGACAGCACTGCCCCCGAGCGCCGTGTCCACTGGCGCGGACAGTAGATGTTAGGATTTCTCGGACTTCTAGTTTTGAAGGATCTATCACTGTCACTGACTTCCTCACTCTTACTGCCCTCTATGGGAACCTTCGGAGTCACTCACTCTGCGAGCTGCTCAGCTTTCAATAGTAGATGAAAGAGGCTAAGTGAGACAAAGAAAACCACCACCACTACTTCTTTAAATGAACAAAACACAGGCCCGTCAGAATGTGTCTTCTGCATGTGCTTTCTAGCCCTTTGTATTGATCATTTCTTTGTCGTTGATTCCTCTGTACTGAACCAAACACTCAGCAAACGTCAACACCATATCCCATCTGAGTCTCTGTTCCCAGTATTAGCAAATACATAATGGATCTTAGGTGTCTAAGAACTGCTTAGTAAAAAATAATTTTTTAAAGTATGCATGTGTGTGTGTATGTATGTATGTATTTTTCACATGAGTTTTGCTAGAGAAAGAGAGAGAGAGAAAGCAAGCCGCCAGGTCCGAGACTCAAACCATGGTCGGCCATGTGGGAATTCCAGCACCTTAACCACCATGCCACCTGCTGACCCCAAAAAATAATTACTGAAGGCTTTAAATATACAAAGTACTCTGCTAAGAAAGGCCTTCTATGCTTTCTCTGTTCAGTTCTTATAATACTGTTATAATTCTCATTCACATATAAGGATATGGAAATGAGTTTGTTTAAGGCCACAACCAATTGACTAGACTTGAGCCCAGTTATTTTTCACTGGAACACATGCTCTGAATTACACAGTATACTAACTCAGCTAGTACCAAGCCAGAAAGATTAACACACTGATTGGTCATTATTATTTGGAAGTGGTTAAAATGAACCAAAAAACTTATAAAATGACTTTAGCACTTCAAGTTAATATCCAAGATACTAAGAAGTTTAAACTTGAGCTGTTTTTTTTTTAAGAATTATTTTATTTAATTTTATTTATTTACTTTTTTTGGTTTTAATTTGACCAGAGGGGCAGAGCAAAAGTGAGAGAGAGAGAGTGAGTGAACGAGAGAGAGTGAGCAAGAGAGAGAGAGAGAGGGAAAGCGAGAAAGCAAACCACCAGGTCTGGGACTCAAACCACAGTCGACCATGTGGGAGTCCAGTGCCCTTAACCACCACACCACCTGCTGGACCCTAAGCTTGAGCTTCTAACAGGATTATACCTTGTACAACAGAAAAAAAAAAAAATCCATAGAAATCACAACAGATTACACACTAATCTTCAATATTTCTATAACAACTACCATCACTACTGAAGAGAAGATGAACATATATTTAATCAAAACCTGGTAAGATTTTTGCTTGTCAAATGTTAAGAGAAAGAAACTATAAAACATGAAAGTTGGGGCCACCTGGTGACATGGTAGTTAGGACTGCTGGATTCTGCATGGCCAACTGTGTAGTTTGAGTCCTGGACCCAGCAGCATGAAAAACACACCAGGCATGTGTGTGACCATGCCCAAAATCCCAAAAGAAAAATGGTGAAGGGCTTGTGGCCTGGCCATCTCCCTGGAGGGTGATATCTCACCTTCCCTCTCCTTTCCCCCCCCTCTCTCTCTCCAGCACATATAAAAGCTGCTCACTTAAGTATCTCCACTCAGAGACTACAGTTGTAAAAATCTAAATTTCACACAATTTCTTTTTCACAGTCAAAAATTATAAATATTTGTTAGAATTATTTTATTCAGCATTAAGTCACAGAGGGTGGGAGTAGGGGCTGCAGGAGAGTGAAAAAACAAGCTGCCAGGTCTGGGATTCGAACTGCAGTCAGTCATGTGGGAGTCCAGCATCCTTAACCACACCATGGGCCAGCCCCCAACTTAATAAATAACTATTTACAAGTTAATGAAGCAGAAAAGTTTATCTATTTACAGTTCTTAGGCACCTAATATCCATTATGTATTTGGATTTATCTTTACCCATTTATAGTTTCTAAATTCAAAGGAGAAAGCGGAGTTCGTTACTAGCGCCCATGTTAAATTTTCCATGTGAACTCACTTAGAACACCCTAATTCATTTCTTTTTTTTTTTGAGAGATTTTCACTGTAGGGCGCGTGCGCTCGCCAGACAGACAGAGAGAGACATAGAGACAGAAAGCGAGAAATCACCCCCTAGGGGGGATGGTCATGCCGCAATCCCTTCTCCTCCATTCTCCTCTTGGGATCTTGGGCATGCACGCACACGCGCCCGGCGTGAGTTTTAAGCCACCGGGTCCGGGACACGAACCATGGTCGACCATGTGGGAGTCCAGCGACATAGCCATTACGCTAACTGCTGGTTCCCACCCTAATTCATTTTTATTGAGGAGTGTTCTTTCAGGCTAGTTATAAAATCTTCTTTGAAAAATACAACACTGTGTCGGTTTAAGAATTTTTCTAGGGAAGAAAAATACAGTCATATACCATGCAACATTCTAGTCAGTAATGAGCCGTATATAAACAGTGGTCTCCCTAAGACTTTAATGGAGCTGAAAAAGTTCTACCACGCAGTGATGTTGGACCACTGTAAGGTCATTACACAGCGCGTCACTCGTGTCTGGTGATTCTGGTAAAAAGTGTACTACCCGGTGTATACGAGTACAGCGTGTACAACTATGTACAGTACACAATACTTGATGATGACAATAAACAGCTAATGTTGCTGATTCATGTATTTACTATACTAGATATATTTTTGTTTTTGGAGAGGTTTTTGCTATAGGGCACGTGTGCTCGCAAGAAAGACAGAGCAAGACATAGAGACAGAGAGTGAGAAATCACCCCCCAGGGGGGGATGGCCACACCACAATCCCTTCTCCTCCATTCTCCTCTCGGGATCTTGGGCATGCACGCACATTTGTCTGGGGTGAGCTTAAGCTGCCGGGACTCAAACCACAGTCGACCACATGGGAGTCTAGCGACATAGCCATTGCACTAACTGCTGGTCCCAAACTTTTTAAAATTTTTTTTGGAGAGGATTTTGCTATAGGGTGCGTGCGCTCGCCAGACAGACAGAGAGAGACAGAGAGACAGAAAGTGAGAAATCCCCCCCCGGGGGGATGGCCACGCCGCAATCCCTTCTCCTCCATTCTCCTCTCAGGATCTTGGGCACACACGCACACAGGCCCAGCGTGAGTTTAAGCCACTGGGTCCGGGACACGAACCACGGTCGACTACGTGGGAGTTCAGCGACATAGCCATTACACTAACTGCTGGTCACAGCAATTTTTATCATTATTTTGTACGCTCTATTTTATTTATTTATTTATTTTTTGGTTAGGTTTTTGTCATAAGGCACATGTACCCACCACAGAAAGACAGAAAGGGAAAGTGAAAAAGAACACCCTCGGGAATGACCACGCCACAATCCCTTCTCCTCCATTCTCCTCCTGGGAATCTGGGCATGCATACACATAAACGTGGCATGATTTTCAAACCTCTGGGTCCAGGACTCATACCATCATCAGCCATCTGGGAATCCAGTGCCCTAATCACATGCCACTTGATGGTACCACTTTTCTACATATTAACAAAAAAATCCTTGAACACAGTATGTCCCGTTATGCCAGCAGCATCCTGGCATCCTGCATGTTTACTGTGTCTCCTGACTGTATTTTCTCATGTGTTCAAATTAATCCCATGTTATTTTGCCCATTATGCCCCGTAAATGTACAAATATCCATGCTAATGTTGCAAGAGGCTGGGTAAAGTGACTGATATCAGTATACACATACATACACACACACACACATGCACGGACACACAGATACACAAAATCTCTACAATGTTTACACAACAGGGAAATCACCTAATGATGTAATTCTTAGAACATAGTCCCTCATTGAGCAATGCATGACTGTACGACATTGTATTAAGCACCAATCATCTCCTAGTTGATAAAAAAAACTACTCCTACTTGCTTAGTTGAATAAACTAAGTTTATTCAGTAGAATAAACCTAGCTGAATTCCTTGCTTTGAGGGTTGGACCCACAGCACAGGAGTTCAGTGCTGTAAAGAGAAAGCTGGATTCCACATGGACAACTGAGGTCCAAATCCTGGAGCCAGCATGCTGAGCACTTACATGCCCAGGATCCTGCCAGGATGGAGAATGAGAGGGAGAAGGACTGTAGCAGGACACAGGTCCCACTGGGTGTATAGGGGTGCTTTCCCTCTCCTTGCACCTTGCACACACAAGCTCTATCATTAATACAGGGAATAGTTTTTAAATGAGCTGATCTTGGAGATGACTGTTCACCTCCTAAAACTCTACATGGAAGATATCACCCTAACGTTGGCGAATTTGCTAACTGGCAAGGCTTCACCCCCAATGTATCTGCTGCATATGGCTTCTTTAAATATAGTAACCAAATTATCATTCTGTTCTCTGACATACATCAGGTGTACATGTACTAACGAGATGGGGGACCCCAAAGAGCCTCACGTACACACCAAGCCAGACGGCAATCACACCAGAGGGGCCAGGCAGGAATCCGCAGCCCCTCGTGTGGCATGTCTACTGTACAGTGCGAGCTGGGTCAGGGACGGGTGACACTGTCACACACGTAATCCTAAATCAGAGGTGGCCCACAGGGTGCAGGCAGCTGACACGAAATGACCGAAATAGGCTAGCTGTCAGAAGACAGTAATTAGCAAATGATCCTCAATGTCAGGGATAAATCAAGCCCAATAGGATTGTGGCACACATAAGCCTCATCTAGAGAACCAGTGTTGAACTCCAGCCAGCCGGGCCATCTGGGAAGGCAGGCCATGTTGCCGCAAGTTTCAAGCAAAGCTGAAAATCTATTTTTGTGTCTCTTAATTTTTAAAAATTACGATAAAACAAAATTCACCATCTCCATCATTTTTAAGTATACAGTTCAACAGTATTAAGTACATTCATGTTGTTGTACAATGGATCTCGAGAACTTTCTCATCTTGCAAAACTGAAAGTCTATACTCATGAAATAACAACGGTCCATGTCCCCCTGCCATCAGTCCCTGATAACCATCACTCTACTTTCTGTTTCTATTTACTGGACTACTTTGGATACCTTGATGTTTTGTTTTTATTTCTTCCATAAAAGAGGGAAAAAACAACAGAGAAAGACAGGCATCCCCAACAGGGTCCTGCCACAATGATCCTACCCACAGACTCAGTCAACTTGGATCGTGGGTACACGTGTGTGCCTGCTATGCATGGGGAGACCTAGGGACCTAGTAGCACAAAGCAGGTGTTACTTCTATGCCACAACAGTGGGCCGCAGATACCTTGATATTTCAAACGCTGGCAACTGAAAAATTTATATTGGGTCATCGGAAAAGTCAGGATGTATTTTTCTGTTTTTCTATGCAAAAATGCATCCTGACTTTGCTGACGACCCAGTATAATTCTGAGTCACTGCCCATTTATGACCCCTTATGACATCTATGATTACTAAGAGTTGAAAGAACGCAGAAGCATGGCCCAGCTGCAGTGACGCGGCAGTAGAGGCTGCTGTTACATGATGCAGGAGGCCATCTGGGATGGTCCTGGGTTTGCACTGTGTGTCTACCTGAGCACTCTGGGTCTGCCCGTGGGTGAACCTGCACCTGTGGGTGCACATGATCCTGCCAGGATTGAGGTGGGGGGGATCATAGCACAAAGACCTGTTGAGGGTGCATCTGTCTTTTTTTCACTTTCTCTTTCTCACGAAGGAAATAAGCAAAGTTTTTAAAAGAATGCTGCATGTCAACTGTATGAAAAACAGGTGTGATAACAACATCAAAAACTTGACGAATAAGCCAGTAGGACCCCAAATGACTGACCACATGGCTCAAGTCCCAGACATCACAGCTTACGAAACACACCAGGTATATGTGCATGTATGCCCAAAATCCTGAAAAGGAGACATAGAGAAGGGATTGTGGAATAATCATGCCCTGAGGGTGTGCTTTCTCCTCTCCCTCTCTCTGGGGAGTGCACACAATCTCTAGCAAAAAAAAAAAAAAAGTGAAAGATAACTTGTCTGGCTCAATGTGCTTTTAATGTCCAGATTTGTACTCTGAAAAATAGGCTAAAGTTTTAAGATATGCTTTGTATGAATTCTTACCATCCCTGCTTGATGCAAGAACCACATGAGGTAGTCTTCTTGAATGTCCACAAGATTGGAAATCTCCGGAATGTAAAATGTGTCATATTCCACATGCTTCACTTTCAGATTTACCTGATGAAGAACAAAATGAGGAGAACTAAAAACTGGCTTCTCTGAGAGGACACCGCAGTAGCACAAATCACCTACCATCTACTGACCCACTCCCCACTGGCTCCTCCATACTCACCTTGTATAACTTCTCCAAGAGCTTGAGAGCTGCTGTAATGTAATTGTTAAACAGTACAGGGATTAAGAATGTCTTTCTCCCCCTCAGCAGATAAAGGACTGCACCTTTATAGAGGTTGACCAGCTTCATGAAATATTTCGGGCATACCTGAGACCACCAGTTATCTTTAGAAAGAAAGAAAACACATATTTCAACATGTAATCTTGAGCAAGTATTTGTGTCTTCTGCCTAACAGCTAAAAACTGCTCTGGCTAGAAGATAAAACATTAGTCTAAAACAAAGTTTCCCAAAGCTGATGTTAAAAAGGATATATTAAAACAATGAAGAGAACAATTGTACAAAAAAATCCTTTGGAGATTTATTTATTTATTTATTTTGGGGGTAAAGCTTGATCTGTTGTTTTTGTTTTTGTTTTTTCCCAAAGACTCATTCTGAAGACTAATTTAAAAGTTCAATTCCAAGGCTACATGTGGACAAGATTCATTTATCTTGGGTAGGAGTGATGGCCATGGTATTAGTCCACAAGTCCTAGTCCTTGGAGCCCTGTTCTCAGCCCCCACTTGAATCCTGCCCTAGGGATTCAAAGGACGGCGTCCCCTAGAAACAGCTCTGATCAGGCAACCATTCCTTATAAGGCATAATTAGTGGAAAAACTACTATTTTGGTTTCCCACCAAACAATGCCTTCTTTCATAACCAGACAAGAAGATTATACCATTGGCTTCTACTTCATCAGAAATAAACTCAGCTATTCTGAAATATTTAAAGAATGAAATCATATGATGTCTGAGATTTCCTTTAAAATATTTAAGCAAAAAAAAAAAAAAAAAAAAAAGGAAAGGTGGTGGTGGGCGGAAACAGATACAAAGAGCAATGTATTGACAACTGTCATACGTCTGGTGGGTACCAGTAGTACTTGCTCTCCTTGGGGGCACTATTTTTAACTTCAATCATTATTAATTACAAAGAAATTGAGGATAAGACTAAACAATTCTGATCGTTCTGTGTTATTCGACCTGGAAAAATGAAAATGAAGAAAAACCTTAAAAGTCAGATAATATTTCTTCAGAGACTGCCATCTTTCTGTCTCGCATTATGAGACCACCTAAGAAAACACTTCCCAAAGGCTTTTTTGATCTTAAAAAAAGAAAAAAATGTAAGTACTCATGTATTACTAGTGCCTTCATCGCTATTTCTGTTTTTCTCTCTTCTGCCAAGGTGGAAGCAACATGGAAAAACCAGCATTCCACCCTCAGGAACACAGGTCTCTTTACTCATGGGGAGATCACACTCGAGTAACATCCCAGTCCATCTGGAAAGCAGAAGTTACTGAGTTGCAACAAACACCTAAAAAAAAAAATTACCAGGGGGAAAAAAGTAAAAAGCCAGGTGACAGACTTTCTGCACTTGATTAAGAAAAACATCTCAGGCGCTACTCCCATGAGAGACACTCTCCAATTCACTGAGGAACGGAAGGTTCTTATCTCAGCAAAGTGTCCGAAGCCTGCAAAAATCAGTGTGGACTCAACTGTCCTAAAAAAGAAAAACAAAACAAACATTTGGTAAGTCCCCACTAGGCCACTTCCTTCCTCTCCGTTTTTGGAGACCTCTGTTCATTTCACTCCCACCCCCTAAATTAGATACAGGAGAAAGACAAATGGACACTAATTTTTGAGACACTATTAACAACAAGCAAATACGAAAGAAAAACACAGTTTAAAGTTGGACAATAGAACTTTTACAGGTTTTGCAAAATCAAGATCTGGCACAAATTATTTCAAATACATTCAATAATGGTTGTTTGCTTGAACTCCAAATACAGTTAACTTTAGAAATTAACAGCAAAGGGGGCCAGCCAGTAGTGTGGTTAAGATGGCTGGATCCCACATGATCAATTGTGCGGTTTGAGTCCCAGACCAGTCGGTTTGAAAAACACACCAGGTGAGTGGGTAAGTGTGCACAAAACCATCAAAGAGAAACAGAGAAGGGATTGTGGCATGACCATATCCCCCATGGGGAGGTGCTGTCTCACTTTCCTTCTATGTCTCTCTCTGGGCGATTACACACTCTCTCTAGCAAACTAAAAAGAGAGAGTGAGAGAAATTAACAGCAAAGAAAGAAAAGTTCAATGTTAAGGATATTAAATGGCAACAAATAAATTACTGGATCTCAATTCACTGAGGGCCAGTGTCACACCAACAAAATAAGCACAAAACCACGGGTATGGAGTGCAGCAGATTCACCTAATACTTTGCTGGGGTTTGTGTCCAGCCGCAGAATGGCCATAGCCAAAGGAATAGTCAATGTTATATAATACTTGGAATCCTGGAGCAGGGGAAACTCAGGCAGTATTAAATAGATTCTCATTGCTTCAACATCAGGTGGTGAGCTTGACAGTTGGGGAATCAGGCAACTTTCAAAACTGTTTAAGATCTGCACGAGAGAAAGGAATAATGAGAAATTCAAACATCCTTGAGATCTAGTTAACCCATCACTAAATTTGCCGGCTATTTGATAGAATCTCAACTCTTACTACTCAGCCTGCACAGAGGGCCTACTCTGACCCAGGCACTGGTCTAGGCACTCAATATACACCAGTGGGAACAGCAAAGATGCTGCCCGTGCAGACAGCAGACTCTAGAGGCACATTTCTTAGAAAGATTAAAGTGAAAAAGAAAGCAAAATGTAAATCAAATTCCCAAAGTGAATTTTTTTTTTCTTTTTTTGGAGAGGTTTTTGCTATAGGGCACGTGTACTCGCCAGAAAGACAGAGACAGAGACAGAAAGTGAGAAATCACCACACACACACACACACACCCCGAGGGGATGGCCATGCCACAATCCCTTCTCCTCCATTCTCCTCTCAGGATCTTGGGCACGTACGCATACACACCCATCTTGAGTTTAAACTACCAGGTCCAGGACTTGAACCACAGTCAACTACATGGGAGTCAACTACATGGGAGTCCAGCAACATAGCCATTATGCCAACTGCTGGTTCCCCCAAAGTGAATATTTAACCAAGAGTGAATATTTAACCAAAGTATGATTTGTACAAGACTTTTGTCTCTCTCTCTCTCTTTTTTTTGAGAGAGATTTTTACTATAGAGCATGTGTACTTACTGAAGGACAGATAGACAGAAAGCGAGAAATCACCCCCTGGGGTGATGGCCATGCTACAATCCCTTCTTCTTCAGTCTCTTCTCAGAATTTTAGGCAGGTACACATGTGCCTGGGGTGATTTTCAAGTTGCCGGGTCCAGGACTCAAACTGCAGTCAACTATGTGGGAGTCCAGCATTGTAACCATTATATCATCCGCTGGTCTCAACTTTTGCCTTTTCATCTTACCTTTGTTTTTTTCTTGAAAGTTTATTACATGCAAAAAACATGTTTTGAAGACATGTTTTATAAGGCCAGCCCCATTGCCTGATAGCTACAGGAGCTGGATCCCACGTGGTTAACCATATGGTTTGAATTCTGGCCTGTTGGCTTCAAAAGCACACCAGGTATATATGTGTGTATGCCCCAAATCCCGACAGGATGGAGAAATGAGGGGAAGGAAATGCAGTATGATCGTGCCCCAACGGAAGGTGCTTTCTACCCCCTTCCCCTCTCGGTGTCTGTTTCTCTCTGGTGAGTACACATAGCCTTTAGTAAAATTTAAAAAGAAAACAAAGGGGCCGGTAGGTGGTGTAGAGATTAGGGCAGCTGGATCCCACAGAGCCAGCTCCACAGTTTAAGTCCTGGACCCTGAGTCTTGAAAATCATGCCAGGTGTGTTTAAGCGTATGGCCAGAATCCTAAGAGAAGAATGAAGAAGGGACTAAAGCATGGCCAGACCCTTGGCAAAGGTGGGGGTGGATTTCGCTTTCCCTCTCTTTGTCTCTCTCTCTCTCTCCAACATGTGCACATACCCTACAGTAAAAATCGAAGAAAAGGTAAGAGTGTGTTTTATAAATGTAACATACCTGTTCTAGAATCATGGAGTGCTGAGAGTTCATTAACTTCTCAAACAACACCCTCGTTGAGTTCAGGTCAATTCCAGGGATTTTTGGACTTGTTTTAAAATGTTCATCAATCCTAAACAAACAAAAACAAAAGTATGTAATAAGAAAAAAAAAAAAGTGAACATTCTGAGAGGAACTATAGACAATTAAACAGTGTCACACGATCATACTGATCAGATTTAAATTTAACAGACGAGAGCCACAAAAATACTATGCTTTGTCAAAGCCCAACAGGATGACCCTCGCAGGAATACTTCTCTCACAGTGACTTTAAATTTTCGAATCTTTTTTCCTTAGGTAAAAGTGCAAGGAGTATAATTTCACACTGAGGGTCTTAAAATTTATGAGCATGCTGCTATTTCTCTGATTTACTCTTCTTTTTTGCTTTCTTCCACAATTGTGGTCCACCGAACTAGATGGAGATGCTGTGGCTAGATGCAAAAACCATCCCCATGCAAACTGGCCCACTCCTCAACAAACGGCAAATAGAATCTCCTTGTTTAAAGTCTCCTTAGCAAAGCACTTAAAATTAAAAGCAGATCTACAACAAATGCAAAGTTAATGCCTCTCTTAGGTAACACAAGTGATACAATCACATCTACCCAAGGACTAGACTAATTTCACTGTTACTGGTTTTGGGGTTTTTTTTTGTTGTTTGTTTGGTTGGTTTTTGGTTTTGAGAGGTTTTTACCTTAGGGTATGTGTGCTCACTGGAGAGAGACAGAGACAGGATGTGGGAAAGGAAGAAATCACCCCCCCCCAGGGGGGATGGCCACACCACAATCCCTTCTTCTATTTTCCTCCTGGAATCTTGGGTACGCATGCAGATGTGCCTGGCATAAATTTGAAGCCCCCAGGTCTAGGACTCAAACTGCAGTCGGCCATGTGGGAGTACAACACCGTAACTGCTATGCCATCTGCTGGTCCCCACTGTTACTGCTTTTAACTTCCTAGCAGCTAAATCATTTTTCTAACCTTAAAGTCTTAGCCTTTTAGAGACTTAAATTCCCATTCTTGAACATACCACATATAATATACAAAATAGCTATTTATTTGCAAAATCACTTCTGTCTAGGAGTAATGGACATATTCAGATAATTCTAAAAAAAAAATTGCAATTATGTATATTAGAACCCAAGTAGTCAAATCAAGAGGAATTGCTTGAATTTTCTTGTTGGGACTTACTTGTTGTCACCCAAGGGGCCAGTAGGTGGCTAAGGCACTGGAATCCCACATGGCCGACCATGGCTCGCATCGCAGACGTGGAGGCTTGAAAATCATCCTGGGTATGTATGCATGCCCAAAATCTCAGGAGGGAAATGGAGGAGAAAGGATTGTGGTGTGATAATCTCCTAGGGAGTACGGGGTGATTTCTTTTGCTGTAGCAAGTGCATATACCCTATGGCAAAAACTTTAAAACATATAAATAAAAAATCTTGCAGACCAGCAAACATTGCAATGGTTATGTCACTGAACTCCCATGTAGTCGACCACTGTTCAAGTTCCAGATCCGGGGGTTAACTCACACCAAGCGTATGTGCATGTATGCCCAAAATCTCAAGAGGAGAATGGAGGAGAAGGGATTGCGGCGTGACCATCCCCCCTGGGGGGGGGATTTCTTGCTTTCTGTCTCTCTGTCTCGCTCTATCTTTCTGGTGAGTGTATGCACCCTATAGCAAAAATCTCTCTTCAATCAATCTGGTCTCCCATATGTAGCCTTCCATAGTCTTAGAGGTACTTTCTGCTATGCTATTTTTTAAAAATGCTTTATCTATATGTGTTTATTGCTGTGTAAAATTAGTCGTGATTTTGAATGATTTCCTGTGATACATTTTATATAAAGCAGGAGGAGTGGGATTCTTGAAATAGCCTAAGTGTCAGTTTACCGAAAAAAAAAGCTTTCCTCACAACTCTATGGAATCTATGGTACTGAGGCAGAATGGCCCAACAAGTCTGGCCAAGAGCCATTCTCAAACTTCAAAAAAGCTATCTTTCTAGAACAGGCTTCCCAATCTCAGTACTACTGACTTTTGGGGGGCAGGTAGTTCTTTGTTGTGGGGTTTGACTAGAATACTTAGCAACATCTCTGGCTCTGCCCACCAGATGCCAATAGCACATCCTCCCCCAAACACAGCAATCAAAAATGTCCTCAGACACTGCCAAATTCCCCCGAGGAGCAAAACACCCTGGGTGAGAACCTGCTCTAGCAGACCAACATCTGTATCATCCAGAATAGCTTTCCCAGAAGGAAACATAACTACCAAATACGAAATGCATCAAGAGAGCTCATGCCAGCTGCCCTAGTGATACAAAGGCAATCTCTAACTGTAACTGGAGAGAATTTTTGAAGTGACCTCTTCCAATCCAGATAGTGGCATCATTTTAGGGTATGATGGTTAATTTTAGGTGCCAACTTGACAGGATTAGGGATACCCAGATACTTGACAAAACATTATTTCTGGGAATGTCTGTATGGGTGTTTCTGGAAGAGACTATCATTTGAATCAGCAGACTGAGTAAGGAAGATCTGTTTTCATCCAGTGTAGACAGGCACCTTCCAATCTGCGGGAACTTGGAGGAACAAAAAGGCAGAGGAGAGGCAAATCCATCCATCCATTCATTCATTCATATTCTGTCTGTATCTCTCTCTCTCTCTCTCTCTCTCCTGGAGCTGGGACACCTTTCCTCCCCTGTCCTTGGAGTCATAACTACAGTTTCTCTGGCCCTTGGACTCTAAGACTGACTTACACCAGTGGCACTCCAAGTTCTCAGGCCTTCGGCCTTAGTCTGAGAGTTAGTCCACTGGCTTCCCTGATTCTCAGGCCTTCACACCTGGACTGGACCATCCTCTGGATTTCCTAGTTCTTCAGTTTACAGATGGCGTTTTACAGGTCCTTTCAGCCTCCATAACTGTATGAGCCAATTCCCACAGTAAATCTCTTCTCACTTTCTCTCCCTGTCTCTCTCTGTTTTGTCTGTCTGTCTGTCTCTTTCTCTCTTTCTCTCTCTCTCTCTGTACACACACACACACATACATATCATGTATATATATATATATATATATATACACACACATATATTATATATATACACACACATATATATGTGTGTGTGTATATATATATATATACACATATATATATATATATATGTAGACACATACACACACACATAAATACACACATTTCTTGAAGAACCATAATTGACTAGTACGGGAGGGAGTCACACATGGAACAGAAGTCTAACTCATCTTGAGACCTCATTAGCCTAGTCACTGGACCAAAAAGACTAAGAGATAATTCAGTCTCAGAATCACCAAAGACCCAAACCCTCAGTAAGACCCAAACCCTTGTGTTGCATCAGATTCCAGAGGGGTTATCTGCAGAAAGGATAAGGCCAAGAAAAGAAAGGTCCTATTTACGACCTGGGAGTTCAGCCTCAAATATAATTTCTTGGTGAGTCGAGCTGCACCTGAATCCAAGCAGCCCTTGAAGCCTCCTTGGCACTTCACCCTACACTCTCTCCTTTTGAGAAAAACAAATGATGGGAAAGCAAATCAAAGAAACTAATAATATTTTAAAAATTAGGAATTTTAGGACAGATACTCCACACAACAAGGGTGACATTTACACTACCCTGAAAATCTTGCTTTCAATTATACTAATTCTTCCTGGGATTTAGTCCCGCTCTTTGGTCATTTCTGCTAGCCAGGCATGAATCAGCATGGCCGTCCTAGTGTCCCTGCATCCATCATTATTAAGCATTCTGATTCTTGCAAGAAGCATCAGTTCATCAGATGAATTAAAACCAACTACCATCAGAGAACAGAAGTCCTTCACAGCCTTTGCTGAGTATTTGCATCACATGTGTTGTTTTTTTTTTAACTTAAGTCACTTACTTTTTTTCAAGAAAACTTCCATTCCAACAGGCCGCAGAAGACAGTATCTGAACAACACCACTGCTCAAAAAAAGAAAAAAAAAGGGAGGGGGGAGTCTTTAGCAATGACAGGTAAGTGGTTATTTAAGCATCAGCAATGAATTAGTCATTTACCCTAGAATCTCATTGATAGCAGCTCTTTCTCACTCAGAGAAGTTTTAGAAATTTATGTTTGCTTTAAAGAAAGTATGTCGCATCTCAAAATGAACAAGAGCTTAAGTCTTCCATGAGTCATGTTAAAAACAAAAAGAATATCAAAGCTCTTGAAAGGAAAAGAAAAAAGTTGCCCTGATAATGATCTTGAATATTCTACCATCACCCACTTAAGACACTCCCTATCTCACCTCCGAACATAAACAGAATAAAAAATGAAAAAAGAGAAGCTGCGCTGTTACCTCCCAAATATGAAATGATCTTTGCAAATTAATAACTAAACAGCCACTTCCTTCTATTAGGTCATCAGGAAAGTCATGATGTATTTTTCTATGGTTTCTACGCAAAAACATGTCATTACTTTCCTGACAACCCAATATTTTGTTACCTTTCTGAAAAACAAAAAGTGAACTGAGTGTTTGTTCCTATTACCAAGGTTATATGGGTTCCTGGGAAAATAACTAGCTTATAAGGACTCAGAGTGAAACTACCTATCAGGAACCCAAGACTCTCTTATTTAACATAAGGAAAAGGGAAGGAATAAAACAAATACCTGACTGGGAAGGAGATGGCAGTAACTTCAGTTAATCATAGCATTTGGGCCAGGAAAGAGCTCTAGAGGTCATTTCTTCCATTTTTTTCGTTTTATAAATTAAAAAGAAAACATATGTGGACAGAAGTCTGACTACTTTTCCTATTTTTCCAAAATCTTTTCAAAAGGGACCTGGGAAGTCATGCCACAAACATTAACAGACCATTTATTTTCTATTAACAGAATTCTTCCTACCTCCTGACCTGGCATGTTATCTTTGAAATGTATATTTCAACTGATTAAAGTATATTCTTTTGCTTATCTCTTCCCAAGACACAGAACTTCTCTTTCCTTGAGATGTAAATTAAGCCTTTTTCTTTAACTAATCTCTTCCCAAGACACAAGATCTTCCCTTCCAATCACCAACCTAAGAATTGTGGAACCCACCTATAACCTATAAGCCCCACTTCTACATGTCCCACCTTTTTGGGACAGTCCAATGGAAAATCTTTTCACTAAATGTTGTCTGTCAATCTCAAAAACAAATAAAAGGAACCTCTGTATATGATCACCCCGAGAAACGCATGTATGCCTCTTTTCCGTTAACTAATCTCTTCCCAAGACACAAGATCTTCCCTTCCAATCACCAACCTAAGAATTGTGGAACCCACCTATAACCTATAAGCCCCACTTCTACATGTCCCACCTTTTTGGGACAGTCCAATGGAAAATCTTTTCACTAAATGTTGTCTGTCAATCTCAAAAACAAATAAAAGGAACCTCTGTATATGATCACCCCGAGAAACGCATGTATGCCTCTTTTCCGGGCCTAGGTCACTCATATTTGGCTTGGAAATTAACTGCATTAATGATTATAGTTGGTCATTTTTTCTGTCAACACATAGAACTAATGGTAAAGCAAAGTGTCTACAGTTCTTCCCACCCCTCTCCCCAGAATCCCAAGAGAAAAATGGAGGAGAAGGAATTGTAGCCTGGTCACCCTCTCAGGGGGATGATTTCTCACTTTGCCTCTCCTTTCTCTCTCCCTAGGGGGCATATTGGCCCTATAACAAAAATCTTAAAATAAATAAATAAATAAAAATAAGTATGATAAAAGGTCTTGATCCTATTTACTGTTATATGTTTTTCTTCATGACTGAACTACCATATCAAATAATCATGTGGATGGGAAAGTGCTAGAAAATATTCAGATGAAGTGAAATATCAGCTCTTGTCATTTGAGATGCTTTGGAACAGCATATGAAGAGACCCACTTGGGTTACACATAACACTAAGCCCTCTTAGCAGAAAGGTCGACTCAGACCTTCATCAGTCAGGATTTTTAAGACTAAGGCAGACTGATAATTACACTGTGTGTGTGTGACTTGGGGAGCAATCTATTATGTTATTTGTGGTTAAAGGGACCAAAGACATTTTTAAATACTTGTCAAAAAAAAAAAAAGTTCCCTGAAATGTAAAACTCCATTTATTGGGTCATCAGAAAAATCATGATGCATTTTTACATAGAAAACTGTCACCATGATGTGAATGGACCCTGAATTCATGAATAACTCAGGCCTGAAGTTTCTGCCCTCCGGCAAACTTACTGCCCCTCCCCAGAGCTACAGGATAACCTGAAAAATTTGAATGAATTAGTAGCTTGAATGGATTAGTGCCTTAAATAGATAAGGCTTCCTGCTTCTCTGACTCCTCCCTTGGATGCTGCATAGGATGGGATCTGAGCCCAATCTCCACCCCAAGACAGCCCCTTCCTCAATTCCCCCATAAAAGACTGTGTCCAACCCCCAGTCAGGGCTGGAGATTCAGAATGTTAACTCCTCTGTGCCCGTCACTGTAATAAACAGTTTTCCTAATCTCTCCGAGTGCTGCTTTCCGTTCCTCGGCATCTGGTTTTTTGCAACAATTACTTTTCTGGTAACCCAATATATTCACAACAGCAATACGTAAGTAGGGAAAATCGCTAAGCTAATGAGTTCTAACATACTTCAGAAAAAACATCAAATGAAGACAAGCCTCTACATACTTGATTGTATTTGCATTGTTGTGTTCTGAAAGTTTTTGCCTCCAAACTGCTATGGTTTCATCATTTATTAAACTGGTATAATGTGCTTGGTTCATAATCCTGAAGTCAACAGCAGGAGAAGAATTCTGGAGAATTAAATACAACAGTAAGAAGGAGAAATCAGAGCATGGATCTTTTCCCCACACCAGCACCTTCCCCGCAACAACACTGTGCATCTTGGGTCTCATTTCTGGACTGACTGCTGTAGTACTGCCTGGGCCTCTTCACCCATGCCCCCAGGCTCCTCACAGCTGGGCTGCTCTCCAGGCTATGCCCCTGGCCACTGCTTCACCCTGTCATCTCCAACAGCAGGTCAAGGTGCAGTACAAAAGCCCAGCATCCTTGCCTCAACTCAGGACTAGCCAAAGGGCCACCCCAACTTTCAAGCTCCCTGTGGAATTGGCTGAGTTCTCTGTTACACCTGAATTGCAGTCAGATTCTCCTTCTGGCCAATCCTACCTCCTTCGTCTGCAAATACAACTATACAGATGTTCTACACAGCAGTAGAGCAGTCCCCCCTGAAAGCCCTGCATCTTGAAGTATTTCCCAGAGAAACCAACTCAAGCTGACTTTTTCCAGACTTCCCTCCCCTTTGCTTTGAATCCTCATAGCATCCAGGTTTTTAAGGTATTAGTTATTTGTCAAAATCGTTCACCAAACTCCAACAAAATGTATTATTAAAAAGTCAGAGTTTGTGTATAAGGAAGATTGCAAAAATCTATGAAAACTTAATGTCTCTTCAGTTCTGATGTAGCTATACACTTCAAAGAAAGAGGCAAAAAGGACGCCCATAAATGGCCTCAGAAATACAAATCTTGCTGAGCACTGCACACCCTTTATGCAGTGAGATTTAAAAATACAGCTCCAGCACATTTATTTTCTAAAAATTGCTTGTTGTCAACTCATTTTCCTCACCGTTCTTGATCTAGAATTAAGACAAACTTGATGTTGATTTAGATCTCCTGTACTTGTCACTAATAATGAGGAAAAAAGTAATATTAAAGCATCTGTCAGTTTATAAGATGATCGTTTTTTTCTCCCTTGTACCGACACATAAAAACACACCCTTCACAGTAAATTCTCCGGTTACTTTCCCATGGTTGTGAGTTACGATATCATTATAGAGGGCAAGAGGCAGACATGTAACAAACCAGAGATGATGGACAGTTTTTGGTCATCTGGCTCTTGATAATTATCCTACTAAAATGGTCACAGAATAGTAAGGATCTTAAATTAAGCGGAAACTCCATAACCCAAGGAAACAGTTGAGTACTCACAAAAATGTTAATAGTGTTGTTGTTATGTAAATTTTAATGATTTCTCCCATTCAAAGGGGCAGCTGAGCATCAATTCTAACATCCACTTAGAATCAAATACAGATGAAGAATTAGTCTCTCATTCTCCACTGCTGGTCAATAAGCCACAGACACCTTAGGTGAAGTATAATCTCAGAATCACTTAAAGAATTGAGAAAATTCATGATTTTTGCATGTCTTCTGCATACATGCAGGACAAACAGAAAAATTTACTCTAGGTCTCTGTTTCTCAGCGTTGGACTTTGCATCACCATGGGAGCTTTCAAAAATCCTATTGGCCAAGTCACACCCAAGGCCTGTGAAATCAGAACCTCTAAAGGAAGCGGTAGTCTTTTAAAGCTCCCAGGTGATTCAATGGGCAGCCACAGTTAGGAATCACTGGTCTAGGAAAAAGAAGATGTCACCAAGCTAGCTTTGAGACAGACTGCCACGCACACACACAACCCCAACGTATTCCCCTTTCAGTTCTATCCAGGGAGCAAAATGAATGAAAAAGGAGAGTCTAGTTCTTCCATCCCCTGAATTTCCGAGGCCCAGGATTAAATGTAGCAAAGGAATATCTAAATAGAACTCCTCCCCATCAGTTCTCCCACCTCAAGGACTAAGGATGAATGACGGAGTCAGCCTTTTATTAAAACAGGCTGTTGGGATCAGTGGATGACATAATGGTTACTTCGCTGGGCTCCCACGTAGTTGACTGCGGTTCGAGTCCCGGACCCAGCAGCTTGAAACTCACACTGGGCATGTGTACGTGGGTATCCACAATCCTGAGAGGAGATTGGAGGAGAAGGGACTGCGGTGTGGCAATCCACTCTAGGGGGAGTAATTTCTCGCTTTCTGTCTCTCTGTCTCTCTCTCTCCAGCGAACACACAAGCCCTATAGCAAAAGAAATCTCTAAAAAAAAAAAAAAAAAAAAAAAAAAAGGAGGCTGCTACTGTACAGATGCTTTTCTTGCTTCTTTAAGGATAAGCACAGGATTTGATCACTCTTTATATCTAAACGAACACCTATGATTAACAGTTTAAGAAAATGTATGTACGTCTCAGTTTTTAAAAGAAAAGGCTATCCCTTCCTAAGTAATGCTCCATGTTTAGTTTCTTTGTTGTTCTTCTCTGACATTGTTACTGTATACTTCTCTTCTCGGGTGTCACATGGTTAACCTGCCCTGGCTATACCACTTCCTTCTCACCGATGGGCTGTTTTCCAGGTCCTGCAGTGTTAACTACAATAAATTTAAAATTCAACATTTATTAGATGCCATACTTATAAAAGGGATGAACTTAAGTTTTACGTTGAATGTCAATGAAAGCTGGCTATTATTCAAGTCGGTTTCTCAGGAAAATGAATACTTTAAACTCTACCGCTTGTGGACAAAAAGTTATTATCCTGTAGAGATTTGGTGCTTTTCATATTTTGCTTTATTGACATTTGAAGAATCAAAGGAGAACCTCAGTTTTCCTCAGAATTTCCCCGTGAAGCGCTGAAGATGGGTCTGAAATAGTCTAAAACGGCACTTCCACATCACCCCACAGGGTAGCACTCGGCAGCCTTCTTCAGGCTCCTGACCTGGAAAATAGCTCAGGGCCGGTTTCAGGTGCTCGACCGGCAGCTCATGCTGCACCAGGATTCTACGTGAATCCTACAACTGCACTGTCTGGAAGACAAGAACTTTGTGTCCTTAAACATGGCAGTGGCAGACGAGTGGCCTGGATGACCCTGGATGGGCCCCCATGGCTGCTCTTTTCTTCCCAAGCAGCCCTGATTCCCGGTTGGTTCCCTAGGCATGCTTGGTGAATAAATGAGGAAAGCGTGGGGCAGAAGAAGAGGAAGAAGAAAGACGGGCGTAGGGGAAGGGACAGAGGGCTGAAAACATATCTTTGAACCTTTTTCAGACTGCCTTTCCCTGGCCAGGCAGAAGGGGGTGGATTAAGGTATTGGCACAGACGCCCGACCCCGACTCTGCCTGAGACACTAGAAGACACTGCGCCACCGTTCTCCTGGCTTACCCTCCAGTGACGTAGGCGACAACAGGAGGGAAATTCAGGAGTGGCATCACAAGCGGATTATAAATAATATAAGATAATGGGACCAGCAGTTAACGTAATGGCTATGTTGCTGGACTCCCACATAGTCAACCGCGGTTTGAGTCCTGGACCCGGTGGCTTAAACTCACACCGGGCATGTGTGTGTGTGTGTGCCCAAGATCCTGAGAGGAGACTGGAGGAGAAGGGATTGCGGCGTGGCCATCCCCCCGGGGGGTGATTTCTCGCTTTCTCTCTCTGTCTTTCTGGCGAGTGCACACGCCCTATAGCAAAAACTTCTCAAAAAAAAAAAAAGAAAAGAAAATAATATAAGATAACAAAAAATGTACCATCTTTTCATATCTGTTTATACTCAATCATACTGAACAAAGACACTCACTTGGTTCTCAAACACCTGGTATTTGTTGCTAGTTAAAGGGAAGGAGAGAAATGGAAAGTCAAATATTGCCAAAGAAAGCACATGCTCTCTAGGCCTCCTTAAATCTTGTTTGGAACAAACATACATACAAATACGTTAAACTATAAATTAGAACTCTATGATTACAATGCTAAGAAAATTATTGGCACAGCAAGGAAGCAAAATACAGGTAATGTCTTTGAGAAGATAACATTAGTACAAACAAAGCATAAAATTGAGTTTGTATAATTATTTATTGAAATAAATACAATATAAATGACACCCGAAAGGAATAGTCAAATGAAAATTTTACCTCATATTTCGAGCAAAGTACAAAAGTTTGGTCTCCTCCAGAAAAGATCTGCTTAACAATGTGATATTTAAAGCGATCTGTCAAAAAACAAATTTCCGACAGCATGGTTTTCAACAATTGAAGTTTATTTTTAATAATCAATCCCCTTTTCTAATAGTCCCAAACATGCTTCAGAGTGGTTTCCTACCCACTTTAATTATGTCTGAGAAATAAGAAACCTTTTCTCTGGGCTCTCTGCCCAGGACTGTTTCTACGGCAATTAAAAATAAATATACAAAATGGTATCCTCTACTCTAACTGTGCCTCCACCTCCCTCCCTAATCACTAAGCCTGACCTCCTTTCTAGTTTTCATTCTAACTCTGTCATGCCTCTGGCCTGAAATCTAAAATAAGTACTCCCATAAATGGAAACAGACGCCTACTAAGTATCTCCACAGCTGAGTGTGGTGGTCCCTAGTCCCTGCAGGGGGCAGCTTGCCAGAGAAGATGGTCCATTTCCTGCTCCCTGCTTCATCTTCCCTCCCAGGACTTGACCCATAGTCAGCCACGTGGGAGTCCAGCACCTTAACCACCACACCACCTGCTGGCCCCACGTTACTCTTCTTTTTAATGACTCTCCAGTTTCATTTCAGCCTTTAGATCTATTATTGCAAAATGAAGCAGTCATTCAATATGAATGACCACCTTAATTTCCATAGAAATGAACACTCTATTTAACTAATTTTTTAAATAATTGATTAACTAATTAATCAATTCATTTATCTGTTTTTAGGTTTTTGCCATAGGGCACAAGAACTTGCCAGACTGACAGAGACAGGGAGAGGGGAAGTGAGAAGTCACCCCCTAGGAGAGTTGGCCATGCCACAATCCCTTCTCCTCTCAGGATCAGGACTTTGGGCATACATGCACACAATTCAGTGTGATATATCAAGCCACCAGGTCCAAAACTGGAACCAGGGTCAGTCATGTGGGAATCCAGCACCTTATATACCATGCTACCTACTGGCCTTTAACTACTTTTTAAGAGACGGAAAAGAGTGGCATAAAAACAAATCAAATCATGGTATGATCAAAATATCAACAGCAAAATAGAGATAACATACAGATGCAGTACGAGCACATGCGTTAGACTGAGGCAGCCCTGGGTTCAAAACCCACCTCCGGAATCTATGTGATCTTGAGCAAGTTACTTTGCCTCTGTAAGACTCAGTTCCCTTATATCTAAGCCAGGGATAACAACCACTAGTTCTCAGGCTGTTCTTTGTGCTTAACTTAGTCACAGAACTTGATTAAGCATTCAGTAAGTGTTCACTTTCATTATTAGCAATAGTAAATAAGATGCATATGTCACCACCAGAGCCCTTGGGGAAAAATATATATTCTGTTTTATTTGTTCTCCAGGATCCCAACTACAGAACTTCACGCATACCAAGTACTCCGTTATTTGTTAGTTGATAGTTAAAACAAACTTAAAAAAAGTCTCATGTTCCTTCCTCCCAAAAGATGCCAAGGTAAATAATACGTATTCTATCGACAATTATTTTCATCATTTGCAATGTAATTAAATTCTAGTGGGGAAAAACAATCACTCTTACCAGCTCGGGCTGAAAGCTGGCCACTGTGGGCGGCCCAGTAACCCTTCACAGGAGATGGACACTTAACATTACAAGTGTGTCCAGTTCCTAGTTGGCCTCTTGCTCCACAACCAAATGCATAGATGAGTCCGGAAGAAGGCACGAAAGCGAGGGTGTGTTGTCTGTGGACAAATAATTTAGATTAACCCATCGGCACAACGTCTACTGATAGGATGGACTTTGGACTCTGCTTTTAGCTTCCGTGTGTGAGCGCCACAGCAATTCCTAGGGTCCTTGGAGCCTCCCCCGTGTGAGTATCTGACTTGCAGTGGCTGCAAGTGGCTCCTTCTCTGGGGTCCTGGCAAGTGGGGAGGGCGGCAAGTCGTGGAAAGAGCTGAATGGCTTGCTGCATTTGACCTTTGGGATGTGAGCGGTTAGAGCCATGCACGATTTCCCAAACATTCTTCAGGGCTCTCGTATTTTTTCTTCATCTCTTTCCCACACCCTGTCACTCTTTATCCCAAAATAAGCTTAACGTCCCCAGGTGGCTCCCCTTTTCTAAAACCCTTCCTCACTACACCCTGGGAAGATCTGACTTTCTCCGAATTTCACCACGGGTATGAATCCAGGCAGGATTTCTTAAAAGTGATGGCTAGGTGTAATCACATCCTCTGCCACAATAAAGACACGCTTGGTTTCTGGATCTTGGTAGACAGAGAGAGCTCTCAGGTGTACGCACCTGCCACAAGCAATCTGGGTCACTTCACTGCCCATCAGCTCGAGAACTCTTCGCGGATTAACCTCGTCGTTCATGGAGTCATGTCCAAGTTGCCCACAGGAACCAGCCCCAAAGGTGAACACACCTCCACTCTGATGAGGAAAAAACACTGTATGATTTCACTGTCTCTCTTCACCAGACATGCCTGTAGAATTTGCACACAAAATACCTGTTCCAATAATCTGCACACTACCCTGACTTGATAGTTGGCCAAAGGCACATCATTAGAACAGTCCACTGATAAAAAAGGGATTTAAGACTACATCTTTGCGGGAGAGAGAGATGGCACTGCTCAAGGAAACATGTGCCACCTGAAATCTTTAAAAATTGTTTAAAAGTACAATAACATGTTAGGAGGCAACATTTTGTAAAATGGAAAAACAAGGAGTTAACTGACACTATTTTGCACGATCATTCACGTGTAAGAAATTAAGAGCTCCACAAATTCCTTGATAAGTTTGTAACAGCTACGTCTGAATGAATGCTAAGGCACTTTATTAAAATGATATCTGCAACAATATTTCTTCAATATGAAAACACATTTCCATTCTCGCTAGATCATAACTGTATTTAGAGGTAAACAGGTTGATGGTCCACGGGCAGCAGGGAGCCACTGCACGATGCCAGAGCCATCTGGATCCCACGTCAACCTGAAATGCCTGAACGCCCACAGGCACCTGTGATTCTGGCTGGCTGGAAGGATAGGGGACGGCCGGGAGGAAGCACAGGGCATGGCAAGGCCCCCTCAAGGGTGCCTTTTTCTGTCTAGTTGGCTGCCCCTGCCTCTCTCTGTCTCATATGAAAGAAATAAACTTGGGGGGGGGGACGAAATCTGTTGATAATTTAAAAACCTTACATGGCTATTTCTTTTTCACATATTTAAGTGGCTTATTTTAAATAAATATATGATACTACTTTTATACATACTACATTTTAAAGTTATTTATATGGAAGTATTTTTAAATGTTACTAAGAGAATCTACGAGACTTCCAAAGAGGAAAACAGACATATTGAAAAAAGCAGGCTTCTGCTACTCCTTTGGATCATAATCAAACCAAAGGTAAAGAGAGCATTCGAGTTCAAGCCACAGTGCTGTAATTATACACCAGCACGACTCTTAAAATCATCGAGCAGTTATAATCACTCAGCTCATACCCAGCACCGAGGCCGAGTACTCTAAGCCCTTACCTTTGTGAGGACTGCTGTGTGCTCTTCTCCACAGCTGATGTAGACAACCTTTTGCGTTCGCAAGAGTTTCACATGGCACGGAGACTCTCGATCTAGAATAGGGGAAATTCTCAGAATGTCTCTACCTTCTGCCTTTTTCGGCTCCCCAGAGTTTTGCTATATCCTGTCTCTCCTGCTTCAGCCTTCTGAGTAGCTGAGCTACAGGCACTTGCTACCGCATCCAGCATTCAGGGCAGGCCGAGAATCAAATCTGGGCCTCCCGCATGGCCTCAGCCTACCACGTCGCAGCATCAACCAGTGCATGCCACAACGCTGGGCCGCCACCATTTGCCTTTGAGATGAAATATACAGAACTACCACAACATGAATTTAGATCCCCCTAGATTCCTGATACATATTCAGCTTCCTGTCCGAATCTGCACCTAGATGTCCAACGCACATCTCAATTTTAATATATCTAAAATCTAACTCATGGCTTCCCCACACTCTCCACCTCTGCCCAGCCCCCAACTCACCCAGCCACATCCACAGTTTTCCCCATTTCTTCAGTGGTAATTTGACCCTCCCAGCTTTTCCTTTATTTCAAAGCACACCTCCTACAACGGGCCAAGCCAACTGGCCCTACCTTCAAAGTACACCCAAAATCTGACTTCACTGCTACTACTGCCAAACCAGTCTTCTCCCCTTGATCCACTACAGCCAGAGTCAAATCAGACCACATCTGTCCTCAAAACCTTCAGAATCTTCCATTCTCACTAGGAGAAGCAGCCAGGCATCCCCCTGCCTACTGGGCCCTCCACCATTGGGCCAGGCTGCCTCTCTGAGCTCCTGCGGCTCTTGCCATGCGATCTCCACACCATGCTTCATCCACATCAGAGCCTTCGCACGTCCTGTTCCCACTGACTGGAACACTCTTCCTCCAGAGAGTCTCATGTCTCGTTTCCTATCTGACTTCCTGCAGGGCTCTGCTCAAACATTTTCTCACCAGAGAGGCCCTTCCTGACCACATTATGTCCAACAGGAGGCTTGCTCTGAAATCTCCTAGCGTACTCTGTATTTTGGTCTGTGGTTTCAACTCCACCTATCAGAATACAGTCACCGCTCAGCGAAGCATGCAACCTGCTCCACTGACTGCTGCTCCTCTCAGTACTAACACAGGGCTACATCTGGGGCACCTTAAGCATGCACAGAATGATGACTGTCCTTTAGAACAGGAGAGGAACAGTGCTCACCTACCTTTCTCGTCACTGAGCCCGAGCTGCCCGGCATTATTCATTCCCCAGCCAAACACAGCTCCTGAGAGAGACAGGGCAAAGCTGTGAGCGCCTCCTGCAGCCACCTGGGCCAGCGGGATGCCCTCCAGGGACCTCACCCTCTGCGGGCTGGCTTGGGAAGGGAACTCCTTCCCCAGTCCCAGTTGCCCATGGCTGTTCTTGCCCCACGTGAAGAACTGGCCATCTGAAAGAAGAACAGGATAAATGGCCTTTAAAAAGTGAAACAAGTTCCACATGAAAAATTATCTAGTTATCAGGGTATTTGTTAGTTTCCTGTTTGTGCGCGCACGCATGTTCTCTCTCTCACACATACACATACACACACACAGACACAAACACACACACACAACCAAACCCACCCAAAAGAAATCTGAGACACTTCAAAACCAAAACTCCCACCTCACATGACAATGGAAAGATGAGATGACGTTCATTGCCTTTCAAAGGCTATTAACACTTGGGTCAAAAAAATTTTTTTTGTTCAATTTTTTTTTTTAGGTTCAACTTAGTACAGGCCCAATTACCAGATTTAGGTCCACTGAACTAGTTCTGACGACCCGAAGACCATGAGGCCAGGACTTGGGGAGATCCAGCCATGACCACCTGGGCTACTCTGCAGATGATCAAGCAGATCAGGGAGGCGCAGATTTGTTCTAACGCAGAGAACAGCATCTTGCGCTGTTTCCTGTGCCAGGCTTCTGACCCCTGCGTTTTCGTTTATCTGGGAGCCGGACAGTGGAACGTGGCCTGAGAGCAGGCGAAGGAAACCAGTCTCTACATGCTGCAGACCACCCCCGCAGTCTGGTCCTGGTCCCGCCTGCTTGCTTGGTGAGAGCTGGAGCAGCCATGCTGCGGGCCTACTTCCTCAGCCATACCCAAGAAAAGGATGAGCCAGGCGAAGGCCATCTGAGGACCGTCGCTGCCCAACAGCACTGAGCAGACCCCAACTGTAACAGCTCCCTCAACGTCTGGACTTGGATCGCATCACACAACAATGCAGAGAAATGTTTTCAAAACCCATGCAACATTAGTTTATATTTAACGTTACGGTACCAGCCGCAAGAGCCAAACAGTGCCAGTTGCCACAGGAAACTTGTAATATCGTCTGCTGGTTCAGCTTCTGTATTAACCTAAGACAGGAAAGGCTTTCTTAAAGGGTGCATTCACACATGAACACAATGATCAGAGACAGTCTCGACTAAACAAAGCCTGTAAAATAAGTACCACCTTTGTGCCTAAAAGACTTTTAAAAAATCAAATATATCCTCTTACATGACATAATTCTATTAAGTCTTTCGTTACCCTCCTGCCTCTTGGGTGGTTACTGCTTTAAACAAACAAAAAAAAACAAAAACAAAAAAACTCAGCACTTACAGCCATTACCACAATCCTCTATTATTCCCTACCTTGTCACCTCTAATCTGGGGACAAATGGAATAGGCTATGGAAGAGGGTCCCTAAGGGTACGGGCAGGGTTTAAATGGCTTTTTTTTTCTTTCAATTGCCAGAAGGTGTGTAAGCTTGCCAGAGGGAGACAGAGAGATAGAGAGAGAGAGAGAGAAATGGGACAAGGAGAAAACACCCCCAAGGGCGCATGTGCACTGCAATCCAGGCCAGGATTCAAACTGTGGTCAGGTCATGTGTGGTCCAGGTTCCTTAAGCACTAGACTACAGGCCGGTCCTGAATGGCTTTCAAAATAAGAGTAAGGCCATGATCCAGCAATTTTACTTCTAGCTATATATCCAAAAGAATGGAAACAGAGGCCCAAAGAGCTATCTGTACAGCCACGCTCTCAGCAACATTACTCACAACGCCAAAAGGAAGAAACAACTTAACTGACCATCGATGGATGAATGGCCAAGCAAAACGTAGTGAACACACATATTGGCATACTGCTGAGTTTTTAAAAAGCAGCAAATGGGCCAGCTCTTGGCCTGCAGGTTAAGGCAGCTAGATTCCACATGCTGACTGTACTGTTCAAATCCCAGACCCCGTGGCTTAAAAAAACATGCCAAGCATACACGTATGCGTGCCCAAAACCCAGAAGGAGATAAAGATGGAGAAGGGATTGCCGTGACCATTCCCCATGAGGGGTGCTTTCTCTCTCTCTCCCCCAAGTGAGCACATGGCAAATTTAAATGTAAAAAATATGTACTCTCAGGACCAGCAGTTAGCGTAATGGCTATGTTGCTGGACTCCCATGTAGTCGACCGCGGTTTGCGTCCCGGACCCGGTGGCTTAAAACTCACGCCAGGCGCGTGTGCATGCGTGCCCAAGATCCTGAGAGGAGAATGGAGGAGAAGGGATTGCGGCGTGACTAACCCCCCTGGGGGGGTGGCTAATTTTGTTTAATTCCTTTAAAAAAAAAAAAGGAAGCGAATTCTGACACATGCTTCAACGCGGATAAACCTGGAGGACAGTTTGTGAAATGAAATAAGTCAGTCACGAAAAACAAATACGTCTTCAAAAAGTTTTTGAAAACTATGTATGGATTTTGATTTTTTTTTTTGCACAAAAGTAAACTCATAATTTAATTCCATTTCATAACTTTCTGAAGTCCCCCTCCTATTACATGATTCCACTTTCAGAGAGTCTCTAGGGTAGTCACATTCATAAGAATGGATTTTGCAAAATAAAAGCATTCTGGAGGTTGGATGGTTGTCCAACAATGAGAACATCCTGAACACCACTGAACTACACTCTTGAAAATGGTTGATATGGCAAATTTTGTGAGTACTTTATCACAATTTTAAAAACTAAATAAACAATGGCAATACCTCCCAATCCTTAGTCCCTAGGATGGTAAAGAGGGAGTCATATGATATCTTTTCAAATCTCATCTCTCTGCTTGATCTAGTGATAAAAACAGTCCCTATTTCACAGGGTTATGATGAGGAACAAATGAAAATAATTCATGTAACATGCTTGGCGCTGCCCAGCAGGGATGGGCAGCCAGGGACTGCCTTATGCTGTCAATTTCAGGAGTGGACCAAGTTGCCATGTTCTTCGTCAGGAAGTGTATTATGCCATGGGAGCAAAGGGGAAGGGGTGTCTGGAAGATAGATGGCCAGTGGAGAAGGGGGCGACAGACTATCTAGACTGACTAGTAGATATGGCTTTTGTTAATGTTTTGTTTTCCCAGCTAGAGTTAAAACAGAGTCCATGTATATACATTGAGTGCCAAAGAGAATGGCACTATTTTTTACTCCTCAATCGCTCCCCTTCTTTGGGGATTCTGGGCATGCACCCTGTATGTTTCTCAAGCCATTGAGTCCAGAAGGAGAACTGTGCTGATGGCCCCATGGGATCCAGCCACCTTAACCATCATACCATGGGTTATTCCAAGTTCTGTACTAAACTATCTACAAATAAATGCCTTGGAAGTTATCCACAGTTTAGATACAACTAATGAAAATTAAATTGTTACTATAATAAAGATTACTTCACTTTTAGAAATGAAATGCGACTGAAAATCTTGATTACTTGGTCAACAAATTAAATACTTTTGTCATTAATGCTTTAAATCTTTTCCCTCATCCAATTTAACTAAAATAGCACTTTTTCTCACTGCCACTCTCCCTCTGCCCCCAAAATTAAACTCATTTTTGGAAAAAATGAATCTAAGACATTACCTGTTCTAAATCAAGAAGTGAATCAAATCACTCTTACCTGCATGTCCCTCTTTTCCTTAAAACAGTTTTTAATTAAAAAGACAAAAATCTAAGAAGAGCAAAAAGGAAGAGGAAGAAGACTATACCTGTCCCCTTTCGAGGGGACAATATCAGGGAGAGGAGGAGGGCCTGTCTATTAAGCTTGTACTGAGAGTGTACGTGCCGGGCACCCTTAGCAGTGGTGACACTGAAATGAATAACCCAGTTCTGCCATCCAGAGCTCACAGCTTTGTACTAAATACAGACATTAAATAAACAATCACAGAGTGTGACAAGGACTCTAAGAGGCCTATGCAGCACATCTGTAGTATAAAGGAACAGGAATTAAATAAAGGAAATAAGTGGGTTGTTTCTTTGATCCATCATTCTGAACTCTCAAGAAAGTACTACTAAGGAACCAGCAGTTAGCGTAATGGCTATGTTGCTGGACTCCCACATAGTCGACCGCGGTTCACGTCCCGGACCCGGTGGCTTAAAACTCACGCCGGGCGCGTGTGCGTGCGTGCCCAAGATCCCGAGAGGAGAATGGAGGAGAAGGGATTGCGGCGTGACCATCCCCCCTGGGGGGTGATTTCTCACTTTCTGTCTCTATGTCTCTGTCTGTCTGGCGAGCGCACGTGCCCTATAGTGAAAATCTCTCCAAAAAAAAGAAAGTACTACTAGACATTATCCTCAAAAAGTCCATCTGAAACTCACTTCAATTTTTTGCATGGTTTTCTTAGGGAAAAGGAATCTGTTACATACTGAGTTAATTCATCTAGGATTTAGAATTAAGTTAATATGTGAGAGACTCAAAACCGCTGTATTGATTTTGGGGGAGGGTTAAAGACTCTGCATATTTGTAATGTGTAAAGTAATTTGGCCTATTATTCGAGTATCAGGTCAGCCCTGGGTTCTGTTTTAAAGGTTTAATTGGATAATTGACTGAGATGTCTGATTTTAAGTTGAAGGTTAACAGGTCTAGGATGTAAAAAGATATCTTTTTTATTCAAACATTTAAAGAGTTCTAGGCACTCAGCCAGCAGCCAGGCCACTAGAACACATATGGTTCCCAACCAACTCCCATCTTTGGAGTGGCAAGAAACACCTTCATAAATAATTACAATCCGTATAACAAGAGCTCTAACAGTGTAAGACACAGCAGAGGCACAATGAAAACAGCAATTAAACGGAGCAAACAGAACAAAAGCAAGGGTCTAGCAAAAAGGCTTCGGCGGGAGGTAGTACTGAGCACAATTGCCATTTGAAACCAGATTCCTCTCCGTGACGTTCTTACCTGGGCACTGCTACGGAATCCTCAGTTGTCATGAGTCCTAGCTGACCATCACTCCCCGCACCCCAGGAGAACAGCTGGCCCTGGTCACTGAGGGCCAGGCTGTGGGACTCGCCACAGGCCACGTGAATGATGTGCTGGTCTGCCAACGCGCCGATTTGTTCTGAAAGAGACCAGACCCAGGAGGAAAACATGGCTTACTTAGCATGGCTTACTTAGCACAGGAAGTGTTCCCTCCACACCACGCCGCCCTTCGGAGCAGGTGTTCCCAAAGAGGCCTCGACTCAGAACAACTATCGTGATTCTTCATCTCACTTATTTCTAAATACGCTCCATTTAGATGCCCACATGCTCAGGGAGAGCCACATGCAAACGGGAATGAGGCATATTTCTAAAAGTGGGATTGAATCAAATCTGGCCCGAACAATGAAACCAGCACCCTCCCCCGCCTCAAACCACACTCAGCCACAATTCAAAACCCCGGTCTCTCCTCAGTGCCAGGACACAGTATCTAGTCAAGAAATAAGAGAATGTCTTTCTGGGAAAACTGCCCAAAGGAAACGGTATTTATGGGGCTCTCAGAGAAACGGTCAATGTCCCACCAATCGATGACAACCATCTTCACACACGCACACAGCTCCACTCACATTTAAGTATATAAGAGGCTGGGCAAGAAGCACGCTTAAGGATGATGAAAACTTGAACATGAAAGCCCAAAAGCTGGGTTGGCTGCCATGGCCTGGTGGCAAAGGCAGCCAAATCCTGCATGGCTAACCATGTGGTTTGAATCCCAGCACTGGTGGCTTGAAAAACACACACATATGTGTGTAAGTGCCCCAAGTCCTGACAGCATGGGGAAGGGGGAAGAGGTTGTGGCATGACCACGCCCCACTGAAGGGTGCTTTCTCCTTCTCCTTCTCTCTTTGTGTCTCTCTCTGGCAAGCACATCCACCCACTGGCAATAAAAAATAAAAGACAAAGAGCAACTTAAACAGAGGAAGATGAACTCTGAAGAAACTGATCAGGCAGGGAGCATAAAGTTTAAAAAAAAAAAAGAGAATCCTTAGCGAATGGGCCAGATGATGTGGAGCTTAAGTCATCTGGGTTCCAACTGCACGGTTAGAGTCCCAGACCTCATGTCTTGAAATTCATGCCCACAGGTGGGTGAGTGCCCTATCCTCCAGAGAATAGAGGAGAAAGGATACCATATGGCCATCCCACTGGGGAGTGATTTCCTACTCTTCACCCACTCTGGCAAGCAAACACTATAGCAAAACAAAAACAAAAACAAAACTAAACAAAAACCCTTAGAGAGAGAAAAAGATACTTCAATCCATGAACAAGGAAGACAATGCTATAGAAAACTATCATTCAAACATTCAAAAAATGAAAAAAAATCTTAGAAATTTAAAATGTAGCAGCAAAAGTTTAAAAGAAAAATCTTTGGCAGTGGGTCTGAAAGTAGAATGGAAGGCCATTTCTAGGAAATAGAACAAAAACCAAAGAGCAATGAAGGGGAAAGATAAGAAATTAGGGAGTTAGTCTAAAAGGTCAAACATCTGAAAGATAAGAACACCAGACAGGGAGTGAAAGAAACACAAAGTAGAAAATTTGAAAGAAGAAATATAAGAAGATTTCTCATAACTGATGAACATGAGTTTCATGATGAAAGAACCTGGCACGTGTCCAGAATAATTACTGATGAAATACCTATTTCTGAGGATGGTGTCTTGAAATTTCAGAATATCAAAAAAGATTCTAAAAGTTTCTAGAAAAGAAAATAGTTTATATACAATAGAACAGGGACCAGAATGGCATCAGATTTCTCAGAAGCAACATTAAAAATTATAAAATGATGAAACAATGCCTTTACAGTTTCAAGGAAAATGATTTGCAACCAAGAATTCTATATCCAGCCAACTATGAATCTGATGAGGATGGCAGGGGTGGGGAGGTTCAGGCATGTACTGCTTTCTCAGAAGGCTACTGGAAGATGTGGTTCCTAACAAAGGACAGAGGAGCCGGAGACAGGAATCTTGTACAGGAAGGTAGTGAGGAACATTTCCAAGAAGGCTTTGCAGCAAGCCTATTGAGGAAGTTGGAGAAATGGCTCCAAGGTGAAAACAACTCTGCCAGAATCAAGGGGTTACTATGGAGACTACGAATAAATGTTTTACGACGGGAAAGAAAAGCAATCACTGCGTATGAAGTCATAGTAACTGCTACGGTGTGAATATACCCCCCAACAGTTCATGTGCTGGAAACCTGACCCCTCTGCCTTCGTGAATTAAGGTCAGCTCTGCCCTCATGAATGTATTAATGTTGCCATCATGGGAGTGGGTTCATTAGCAGGGGAGTAGCTTTGTTAGAAAGGCAAGCTTTCTCTGGCTCTCCAGCTCCTGCCCTCTGCCTATGTGGTGACCCTCACCGTGTTATAATGCAGGAGCAAGACCCCCACTAGATGCCAGTGTCACGCTCTTGGACTTCCCATGCCCTACAACATGAGCTGCATAGGTTTCTTTTTGTTATAAATTACCCAGTCTGTAGTATCCTGTTATAGCAACAGAAAATGGACTAAGACAGTAACCAAATAAAAATGATTTACATGGTTAATAATGTGGTCAGAATTGATTAATTCTTCAGAGGTCCAGCTTCAGTGGTACATGCTGCTAACTTGCTGTGTTCTACAGGCTGGAACCATATGGAAGACCTGGGTTCGACTCTTGGTCCCACCTCAGGCTGGGCACAGTGCTGTGTGCCCATAATCCCAGCAATGTGGGAGGCTGGAGCAGGAGGATTATGAGCTTGAGGCTGGCCTGAGCAACATGGCAAGACCCTGCCTGTAAAAACGAGGCATTACGGCCTGAACCTGTAGTCTCAGCTGGTAGGCTGAGGCAGGACGACTACGAGACGGCAATCCCTGTCTTTATTTATTTTTTTTTTTTAAGATGAACTATTTGTAAAAGGAAAATATTTGAGGATAAAGAGGAAAAAAGGATGGGTACAGAAATATTAAAGAATCCTAATCTTCTCCAGTGTGACATCTCCAGACAAAAACCCATAATGAATAGCACTGTGGGATGTCGTTTAGAAACACGACAGTAAATACCAAAAGAAAAAGCTAAGTAGTTGAAGTGATGGCTCCTTGGAGACTCAAGGCCAGGAACAGATAAGCCAGGGAACTGTTATTTGACCGAAATACAGTTTGTACCAATAACGTTACTTGAAAACAATATTTTTTTAAATTATGCAACTGGAAACATGTTCACATCAGAGAAATCACCAAATGGAGTAAATGAAAAGATACTGTCACTCCTGTTGTGGCCATGATCGATCTCCTTATAACTGACATGACAGCTGTACATATTTATGCGACACAGTATGCTTTTTCATTGCACGAATACAATGTGAAATGATCGAACAGGGTAATAGACACAGGGCTTAACCTCTACTCACTACCTACGGCCCAACTCTCACCTTGCCCTGGGCATGAAGAACGGTCCTGTCATTACCTTGTAAAACCGTATGGAACCCCGACCAAAGTAGCTCAGGAGACTCAGACTCTACTCCTCAGACGAAATTTCCACCTTGTACCAGAGTCCCAGGACTTGGGCAGCCATTCTGCCCTCCAAGGCTGCAACCTCACCTGATAACCTCACTCACGTCTGAGGTCTTCTTCTCAAGACCTGCCCTTCTTGCTGCCAACCAGTAACCTCCCCTGCCTAGATACTGGCATTGAGCCCACCATGGTACTAATGGGTTTCTCCACTGTCCCAACAAGACACAGCCCATCTGATCTCTCAGCTGTTTTCTTACCCCCAACAGTATGCCTCTTGAGCTAGTCCTTTCACTACAGCTGAGCAGCCACAGGAGGGCACGTCTAGCTTCTGTTTACCATTTGCTCCCAGCCTGGTCAGGCTGTAAGCAGATTAATTCCCCTCCCACAACATATCAGCCACCAAAAGAGACTTCAAACCACCCTTATCACCACAGTGAGATATGCAGCTCCAGAGGCAGCAGCATTGTTCGGTCAGTCAAAGGAAGAATCTGATCACTCCTTACACAAGTCCAACTTACTCTGTTTCTTCTAGCCAGAAAATTGCATTCTTCCGGGGGTCGGCAGGTGGCGTAGTGGTTAAGGCACTGGACTCCTACATGGCTGACCATGGTTTGAGTCCCAGACTTGGTGGCTTAAAACTCATACCAGGCGCACATGTGTGTGTGCGTCCAAAATCCCAGGAAGAGAGGGGATTGTGGCATGGCCATGCCCCCAGGACAAGATTTCTCACTTTCCCTCTCACTGTCTCTGTCTCGCTCTATGAGTGCACATGCCCTATGGCAAAAAAAAAAAAAAAAAATTACCTTCTTTTGATTCAGGCTAAAGATGTGTCACCATAAATTAACTCCTCTTATAGAACCTAAGAGGTCAGGCCAGTGCCCCAGTGAGTACCACATTCACTCCTCTCCCTGAAGACACCCCTGTCCTGGTTGGGAAGAGGCTGTGGTGCCCATTTTCCCAAGCAATCTTTTCTGAATCATTCTGTCAAGGCTACACATCGTATTTTGCAGATTACAACAGACCGTCAACCCACATGCTAAAGTAATTAAACACACTGAGGAAACACTGGGCATTTTTAAGGATAAAAGTATATTTTCTCTCTGGTCTGCTTATGCCCACACATTCAAGTCTTTAGAAGTCTTTAGCAACACGACCGACTCCAGTCGAGTCATAGAACTGGAGTGGCAGTGCCCAATGTGGAATGGCACTTCAGCGCATCGGCAGTGCAGCTGGCCTCGCGTGACTAGGGTTACTTCGACTAGGCTTCCGAGCTCATCCTAATGTTCAAATGTTTTTTGAGTGAATGGTAGATTTGACATCAAAACATAAAAGAATGGCTATAGAGAAGGATGATAAGAAGCTAGAGGGTTAGGAGAACGATGCTGATCCTTAATCCTTGCAACTACCCTGCGAGGCAAGAGTACTATAATTAGCCTCAGCTCAGAAGGACTACATAGCTGAGCCGAGGTTCACAACGAGTGAATGGTGGGGTGGGCTGGATACCAGGTCTGTCTGACAGCAAAGCCCGTCACATCCACTGTCCTCTCTCATGGAAAATAACTAGATGGATTTTAAATAGGTAAAAGTTTACTTGTGGACGATGG